CGGGCCGGCCCGGCCGGCCCGGAGCCCGACCCGGCCCAAATGATCACTTAAGTGATCGTTTAATGACGAAAGTCGGGTCACTTAAGTGACCGTTTAATGACGAAAGCCGGACCGGGTCGGGCCGTCTCGGTTGTAACGGTCATAAACAGCCATTTTTGGCCTTTTGACCAAAATACCCCTAAAAAGTCAAAATTTGAGGGTATTTTGTCATTTGTCTAGGGGGCTGCCTCTATAAATAGAGGGGGTTTTTATTTGTTTTCCTCATCCAAAATTCATCTACTTCTCTCTAATACTCTCTTATACTCTCTAATAATCGCTTTAGCTCTCTAAATCTTCAATCAAATAGCTTCATCATCTGATTATGAAGGGCAAAACCCAAATCCCGAAATGAGTCCTTCTACTACAAGAGGTACATATACTCCTCCTACTCCTACCGATGTTGATCCCAAATCCGGTGACGACGATTCTACTACACCAAGAGCTCCTAAAAGGCCGAGATCTGATGTGTGGAATTTTTTCGAGAAGATAGACGTCACCAGGAATGAACACGGTAGGCTTCTCATCCAGAAGGCTAAGTGTGCGTTGTACGACCATATTTTCCAAGCTCATTATAAGAGCGACACCAACCACCTCAAACGTTATTTAGATAAACACAATAAAGGTCAGACGCCTCAAGGTGATATCCGACAATCTATGCTCTCCTAATCCTCATCTTCTTGTAGTCTTGATAGTTAGAATTATGACGTAGTCCGAGCTAGGAAATGCGTCACCAGGTTTATCATTATTTAAAATATTCTTTTTAAATTAGTAGAAGATGATGAATTTGAAAATTTATTTATAGATAGTTTTTATCCCGTATTTAAAAAAAATTCTCGTCAAACTTGTCAACCTGATATTTTAAAATATTATCAGGAGGAGCAAGGAAAAATAATTTCTTATTTTCAAAGTTTAAACTGTAATTTTTTTTTTAACTTCTGATATTTGGATATCTAGAGCACAAACTAGTTATTTATGTATTAAAGCACACTGGATTGATAAAAATTGGCAAATGTTTAAAAGAGTTATTTCTTTTATTGTATTTGAAGAGTCATATACAAGTATTAATATTGCAAATTTAATAATTAAAGAACTTACAAAATTAGAAATATCAGAAAGAATAGTTTTTCTTTCACTAGATAATGCAAGTAATAATAATATAGTTATTGATTATATCAAAACATCTCTGCTATTGCCATATCGTGGTGATCTTTTTCATATTAGATGTGTCTGTCATATTTTAAATTTAATTGTTCAAAGTGTATTTGGTAAAATTAAACCAATGATAGAAAATGTTAGGTTAGTATCTTATGCTCATAATGCTTCTGAACAAAGAATTAAAAGATAAAAATAATTCTATAAAAGAAAAAATATAAAACTCAGACTAATTCCAAAAGATGTTGATCATAGGTGGAATTCCACCTATGCAATGTTAAGTGTAGTAATAGAATATAAAGAAATTATAAATGATTTTATTATTTTTTATACTTCTAGTTCTAGCTCTGGTAGCATGTATGGAATAACTGAAGATGAATGAACAATTATAAGTAATTTAAAATAGATGTTATAAATTTTTTATGATGCTATAATGTTCTTATCTGGCCGTTATTATCTAACCATTACTTTAGCTACTTTACAAGTTGTAAATATTCAAATTTTTTAATAAAATATCGCATGGATAATTATTTTGGAAATATAATTTTTAATGGAAAGTAAATTTAATAAATATTTTATGCATATTCCTATTATTTTGGTTTGAAGGTTCTTATTGATCCGTGTTTGAAAGTGTAGGCTATCTAAAAATCACAATAGATAGCTTATCCAAACAAGCTCCGACAATGGAGGTCACAATCAGACGACTTCCCAATCATTGCATCCGCAACTCCACAATCGCCACAAACACGACCTCACTTCTGAGATGATTGATCTTGATGGCTGCGACAACAACACTAATATTATATTAACAACTATTAGAGATGCTGATGAGTAGTGGGATGATTTCAGAAATAAAAAGGCTGGACTTAGTTGGTGAGTTGCTTGGTAGAGAGCTGTGGACAAATATTCATCTTTGAGACACTATGGATATTGATTCCCGTCTAGCTCCTACAACGAAAGCTACAATCAAATAGCTTTCGCGCCGATAATCGAAACATACAATCAGATAGTTGTTTGGTAGAGAGCTGTGGGCAAATATTCATCTTCAAAACACTATGGATGTTGATTCCTGTCTAGTTCCTACAACGAAAGCTACAATCAAATAGCTTTCGGGTCGGTGAACAAAAGTTGCGAATGGAGGGCTTTTCACATAGATCGAGAGGAGT